AAATGTCTTAACACAATAACTAAGAAAATGACATGAAGGCTATGTTAACCAGTTTGATGAAAATATTTCAAATTGTATATAAAAACAGCACACTGTACTCCATGACAGTATTAATGTACACAGCTATGATTCAATAAAAATAAATAAATAAAAATATTACTCAGCCATAAAAATAAAGGACTGATACATGCTATAAGATATATGAACTTTAAAAGCTTTATGCTAAATGAAAGAAGCTAGACACAAATGATCACATATTTTATGATTTCATTTATGTAAGACATCAAGAATAAACAGAGACAGAAATCAGACTAGTGGTTGCCAGGGCTGGGGGAAGGGAAAAATGAAAAGTAGTTAAATACATTTCCTTTTGGGGCTGGGTGCAGTGGCTCACACCTGTAATCCTAGCACACTGAGAGGCCAAGGCAGGAGGACTTCTTGAGCTCAGGAGTTTGATACCAGCCTTAGCAAAGCAAGACCCTTTCTCTACAAACAGAAAAACTAGCCAGGCATTGTGGCAGGTGCCTGTAGTCCTAGCTACTTGGGAGTCTGAGACAAGAAAATCACTTGAGCCCAAGAGTTTTAGCTTGCTGCGAGCTATGACACTACAACACTGAACCCTAGGGCGACTCAATAGGATGCTTATCTAAGGAAAAAAACGGGCAAAAAAGTTTCCTTTTCAGAAGATGAAAATGTCTTGGAACTGGATAGAGATGCTGTTAGTTACATATTTTCGACCTAACAAGAAACCTAACATTTGATTCAATAATTAGGAAGAAGAAAAGCTAGAAAAAGAAATAAGAAGAAAAATAGAAAAATAAAGAAAAAATGGGTAAGGAAAAAGGAGAGAGTAAAACAAAGCTACCAAGAACGTTGGGAAAAGAAATTTCATGTACCTATCATAACGTTAATAGAATAAAGGTTAAAAAGAGAGAGAAAGATAGAGAGAGGCTGGGTGTGTTGGCTCATGCCTGTCACCCTAACACTCTGGGAGGCTGAGGTGGGTGATTCACTTAAGCCCAGGAGTTCGAGACCAGCCTGAGCAGAGTGAGACCCTGTCTCTACTAAAACTAGCCAGGTGTTGTGACAGTCTCTATAAAAACTAGCCAGGTGTTGTAACAGGTGCCTATAATCCTAGCTACTCGGGAGGCTGGGGCAAGATGAGTGCTTCTTTTTTTTTTTTTTCCAGACAGAGCCTCAAGCCATCACCCTGGGTTAAGTAATGTGGCATCACAGCTCACAGCAACCTCCAACTCCTGAGCTAAAGCGATTCTCCTGCCTCAGCTGCCCAAGTAGCTGGGACTACAGGCACCTGCCACAACACCCAGCTTTTTTTTTTGGTTGCAGCCATGATTGTTGTTTGGCGGGCCCCAGCTGGATTCGAACCCACCAGCTCAGGTGTATGTGGCTGGCACCTTAGCCACTTGCGCCACAGGTGCTGAGCCAAGAGGATCACTTTAGCCCAAGAGTTTGAGGTTGCTGTGAGCTATGATGCCACAGCACTCTATCCAGGGCAACAGAGTAAAACTGTGCCTCAAAAAAAATAGAAAGAGAGAGAGATTCAATAGATACTGAGGGAAATATCTTACTAAACTATATTACTTATTAATCACTATTTCAATCCATAATTATTAAGAATTTGGGGGAGCACCTGTGGCTTAGTGAGTAGGGTGCCGGTCCCATATACCGAGGGTGGCGGGTTCGAACCAGGCCCTGGCCAAACTGCAACAACAACAAAAAATATAGCTGGGTATTGTGGCAGGCACATGTAGTCCCAGCTACTAGGGAGGCTGAAGCAAGAGAATCACCTAAGCCCAAGAGCTGGAGGTTGCTGTGAGCTGTGATGGTACAGCACTCTACTGAGGGCAACAAAATGAGACTCTGTCTTTAAACTCTTAAAAAAAAAAAAAAAAGGAGGGCAGTGCCTGTGGCTCAAAGGAGTAGGGCACTGGCCCCATATGCCAGAGGTGGCGGGTTCAAGCCCAGTCCCGGCCTAAAACTGCCAAAAAAAAAAAAAAAAAAAAAAATTTCTTTGGATCTTTTATGGAATAAGTGGGAATATTTGGGCAATGAATTTTATAGCATTAAGAAAGCTTTCTCTTGGCTTGGTGCCTTTAGCTCAGCGACTAGGGTGCCAGCCACATACACAGGAGCTAGTGGGTTTGAATCCAGCCCAGGCCTGCCAAACAATGACAACTACAACCAAAAAATAGCTGGGCATTATAGCAGGCGCCTGTAGTCCCAGCTACTTGGGAGGCTGAGGCAAGAGAATGGCTTAAGCCTAGGAGTTTGAGGTTGCTGTGAGCTGTGAGGCCACAGCACTCTAGCCAGGGTGACAGCATGAGACTCTGTCTTAAAAAAAAAAAAAAAGAGGGAGGGAGGGAGGGAGGAAGGGAGGGAGCAAGCAAGCTAGCTTTCTCTAAACCAAGCATATTGGCTCACACATGTAACCCTAGCACTCTGGGAGACCAAGGCAGATGGATTGCTTGAGCTCAGGAGTTTTCGGCCAACATGAACAAGAGCAAGACCCTATCTCTACTAAAATTAGAAAAACTAGCTGGGCATTGTGGTGGGCGCCTGTAGTCCTAGCTACTCAGTAGGCTGAGGTTAGAGAATTGCTCAAGCCCAAGAGTTTCAGGTTACTGTGAACTAGGATGATGCCATGCCACACTAGCCTGGGTGACAGAGTGAGACTTGGTCTCAAAAACAAAAAAGGAAGCTTTCTCCTTGCTTATGAGCATGTTAGCTGCTTCTTATGCTTGAACCTTTGATACCTACCACTGGACCCCAAAATTCCCTCTTCAATTCAGCTTCCTCCCTAGGAGCCCTCACAGTTCCAAAGGCCCATTTCTCTGTCAGAGCCATATTCAGAAGAGACTGACAGAATCTAGAGAGGTACAATCTAGAGCTTACTGTGCTTCTGCTAAGAAGACAGCTTAAGTGAAAAGTTAAAAGGGATAAGAGGATCTGGAGACCAGAGTGGTGGCTCATGCCTATAATCCTAATACTCTGGGAGGCCTAGGTGGGAGGATTGCTTGAGCTCACAGCTTTGAGACCAGCTTGAACAAGAGCAAGGCCCCACCTCTTAAAAAAAAAAAAATAGCCAGGCGTTGTAGCAGGCACCTGTAGTCCCAGCTACTCGGGAAGCTGAGGCAAAGCATTGCTTAAGCCCAAGAGTTTGAGGTTGCTGTGAGCTATGACTCTACATACTGACCCTATCCAGGGCAACAAAAGTAAGGACACTGCCTCAAAAAAAAAAAAAAAAGGATCTGGGGAAAAGAAGCAAAGATCTGACTGCCATGGTGTGATGAGGTGAAGACTTTAAAGAAGAGAGGAAGAAGGAGCCTTCTTTCTTCTAGAATGAGTAGACTCGTTCAATAGGAAAGGGAAAAGAAGGGAATTAAGACAAGATTCAGAGCAAAAAGCTCTGGTCAAAAACAAAGAGTGATGTTTGGCTAAAGCATGAGTATTCCCTCAGTAATTTAAGTACAGTGGATGGATAAAGCACTGAGTCAACTAAAGTAAGGGATTCCAGACAACTCACTTCTGACAGTAATAGTAACATAACAAATGAAGTTTGAGGATAGGAGATAGAAGGGGATATCCTTTTTTTTTTTTACGACAGAGCCTCAAGCTATTGTCCTGGGTTAAGTGCCATGGCATTACAGCTCACAGCAACCTCCAACTCCTGGGTTTAAGCGATTCTCTTGCCTCAGCCTCCCAAGTAGCTGGGACTATAGGTGCCCGCCACAACACCCGGCTATTTTTTGGTTGTAGTTGTCACTGTTGTTTGGCAGGCCCAGGCTGGATTCAAAGCCGCCAGCTCTGGTGTATGTGGCTGGTGCCTTCGCCACTTGAGCTACAGGCACCGAGCCAGAAGGGGATCTTTGGGCTTCTGTGATCAGATGAAATGAAGCTCCAGTAATTGATACTAAAAAATTCCACATTTTAAGCCACTACCTGCCAAACACTTCCTCTAACCACAAAATTTCTTACCGTATACACTGCCAGCAAAGCCAACTGGTTATAGGGTCGCCCATTCTTAGGAGCAATATGCTGGGCCTTCAGGTACCAACTAGAACAGAAAAACAGTAAGAATAAAATGCTAGCTCATATCAGCTTTTCCCCAATTCGCCCTGACAGCCCTAATACTTAAGACATAAGCTGGAGTGTTACATGTAATCCTAGAGTGGCAAAGCATGACTACAAGGACCAAAAGGGATACCTATAGGACATCCATATGAGAGGAGCTTGAGTGGTCCATTGCTCTTAATAGGGCTTGGCTACAAGCTACACAGGGAAGAGAAATAATGAACTAAAGGTAAAAAAGTACCTGCGTGCTTTCCCGTAGTTTGCTGTATCATTAGCTTGCTCCCGATATCTAGCAATATCTCCTTGGCAAATCATACATCGTTGGGCACTGATCAAGGCATATTTCACCTTCAAGAAAAAAATCAGTTAGTAGGCTACCCAAGAAACACTAACTTTAACCCCCAAAAAGGGATGGTATCAAAATGACAGAAGAACTAATAGCCAGGCAGTGGCTCACGCCTTGTAATCCCAGCACTCTGGGAGGCCAAGGCAGGTAGATTGCCTGAGCTCAAGAGTTCGAGACCAGCCTGAGCCAGAGCAAGACCCCGCCTTTAAAAAAAATAGCCAGGCATTGTGGCAGCAATAGCTCAATGAGTAGGGTGCCAGCCACATATACTGGAGGGGTCAAGCCTGGCTCAGGCCTGCTAAACAATAATGACAGCTACAACAACAACAAAAATAGCCAGGTGTTATGGTCGGCACCTGTAGTCCCAACTACTTGGCAGGCTTAGGCCATGGCACTCTACCCAGGGCAACATAGTGAGACTCTTAAAAAAAAAAAACAAAAAAAAAACTTTTAAATAGTAAGAGCTTGTACATAGTACTCATCAGGAGGAAAAAGGCAAGAGGAAGCCTCTGCTCCATAAATCACACTCCATTCTTTTTTGTTTTGTTTTGTTCTGTTTTTGGGTTTTTTTGAGACAAAGACTCAAGCTGTCCCCCCAGGTAGAGTGCTGTGGCATCACAGCTCACAGCAACCTCCAACGCCTGGGCTCAAGCAAGTCTCCTGCCTCAGCCTCCCAAGTAGCTGGGACTACAGGT